AAGCGTTATCCATTAGACCACTTGCGCCGCGAGAGCCACCTCTTGTGCAATCGGTCATATTAATTATTTAGTTGAATTTTAGATTTTCCCGTCGATAATATGGTTTTACTACTACATTTTCAAGGAAGTGGCTTTACTATATCCACGTAGTCAATTACTGCTGCTTTCCATCACTAAAAAATACCTCTGCCATAATGTTTATAGAGAATTCGAGTATGGTACAAATAAGCTGTGTGACTGCCACATGTCAAGTGATCTACAACGGAAAACTCCGAGAAGCTTTTGAAGTGACTACAGAGAGGAGTAACACACGGTTGACTATTATCACCGACAATGCTAATTGTTGTGTATTGGATTATGCGAAATATCGTGACGTGGGGAACGAGAAGACAGAAATGCGCGAGATCGATAAGAAGGCTCTAGAAGATCAGGAATTCATGGGTGATTTATATCTAATGTCACACAGGCAGAAACCAACAAATAGACAGAAGAAGCAGGCAGAGTAGACAAGGCTTCAAGTGAACATAGATAAGACAGAGGTAATGAAGATACCCACCAACCAACAACAGCAAGCACCAAACACTATCGATGGAATAAATTTGAAAGAGGTTACTTCCCTCACTTAGCTGACCAGACAGAATCGTTTCAACTACAGGGGATGTAACGGATGAGGATTTCAAAACTAGTCAGAATCAGAAAGGCAAGACAAACCTTCATCACTCTGAAATCAGTTTGGAAACCTTCCACACTCATCGAAAACAACAAAATTCAGATTTTCAATACCAGTCAATTCTTCTATATGGATCAGAAACTTGGCCAAAGCGTCACGAAAAGCATTTCGTACAGGTAGCTGTAGAATTTTATCAACAGCAGCCTTTGCTAGCTCCCTAGTGAATATCAGATGTCAGACTAGAAAGAATTAGAAACAAGGAACTCTGAGAACGAATCAATCAAGAACTTGTTGCTGTTAGAGAAAATAGTGATGGATCGGACACACGCTGAGTGGACCGTTGGGTGACATAGCACGCCAGGTCACCCCTCTAGTGGAACCCGAATGGGAAACGATGAGTTGGGCATGTGTGTGTGTGAGGGTGACATGGAGGCAATCTTGTGAGGAGGGGGTGAGGACCTATGTGCGATCATGTAGCCAGCTTAAGGGGACTGAAAAGAACAGCATGAAATAGAAATGTTCTGTTGAATTCCTATGTTCCACTCTGAAGCCAAGGGAATAATAATACAGAGAAGGTTCCTTTCAATGTGTAATTTAAGTAAAATGTGACATATAGAGGATAGTTTATATGCACAATTTACTTACCCGTATAAAAATGTCTAGCACAGCTTCCAAAAGAATAATTTGAATGGGCATCGTTAATCGCTGGAGACAAATTATCTGAACATAATTACTTACAGCTACTTAAATAAATTAGTAGAACATCAAAACATTTTTTTACAATGATGTGATATGTAGACAGATAAACAATGCATTATCGCTTACTAGCGATATGTTGATCGATGTCCAGTCTGGAAATAAACCAATCAGAATTGGCCTACATAAAAATAACGCCCACTATTCATTTGACTATGATTACAGACTTACGGCTATGTCCTTGATGATTTTTTGAATCATACATTGTTTGTATGTAAACTATACTCCGACTGATACTGATATATACATATAATTTTCGGCTCACGTCATTGTGTATTCTTGCTTAAGTAATGCAGGCTAGGAGAAACAGGTACCTGACGTATAATGTCGTTGTCGTAGTCAAGAGATATTTGTGATGAGAGCGTCTATGTCCAATTCAACGTACTGCGAGACATAACACACGGTGAAAATAATTTGGTCCTTATAACTAACTTTACTTGTCAGTCGGTGGCACAGAGGTAGAATGTCCGCCAACCACGCCTCACTTAGCCCAGGGTTCGATTCCCGACCAACGCACTCCCTTACCTCACCGAGTCGGTCGGTTTTCGCCATAGAACTTTGCACATATCTGCGGCAGTTCAAGTCGCCACACTCCATGTAGCACACAAAGGAAGAGAAGAAAGTAGAAGAAATACATATTAGAGATAGTAAACAGAGGTGTGAGACAAAGGAATAGTAATAACAAAGAACAAAACAGTTTCATTTGAAGTCATAAGTCACAAGGAGTGGATGCATCTGCACCACTGACAACGATTTTGAGCCACATCACCAATTTTCTCCGGCCTTCATTGGTTCTTACCACTCCGAGGACCCCAACCAGGAAGTCTACACCTTCCTACGTGGCTTAGACTAACTGTTGTAGATTTCATTGACTGGTGCCATGTTTTCGTTTGACCGCCGCTAGCTCCTTTCCAGCCTGCCCCTATATCAGCTAACATCGCCCGTCGGTCGAGGAAGGCGATGACTAGGCATACGTAACACATGTCCTAACCATCTCAGTCGATGTAATTTCACAGCCTCGTCGACTGATTTCCCCTCCTTACCTAGCACTCGACGCCTAACCTCAATATTACTCACCTTATTATACCACTTCACACGGGAGATAGAACGCAGACACCTATGATCAAAGACAGCTAATCTTTTCATGTCTTCTGCTCTCAATGGCCAGGTCTCACAACTAGCCATAAAGGAGGACGGAGCGGACTGATGAGCAGTACACACGCCCTTTGGTCGATAGTCGGATATCGCGTCTACGCCAGAGACGACGTAAACTGGCATATGCGAAACTAGCCTTCTGTATTCGTGCTGATATTTCGTCTGAGGTCAACCCGTTGGGGCTGATGGTACTTCCCAAGTAATTGAAGCGGTCAACGTGCTCTACCACTTCACTTCCTATTTCTAATCTAGGGGTCGGTGAAGTCCAATCCTGCAGCATCATCTTACATTTTACAGGGGCGAATCGCATGCCACACATACGAAGATTGTTGCTCAAGGTGTTCAGTAGACTCTGCACTTTGTTAGCGTCCTCGCCTAGAAGGATTATATCGTCTGCATATTCTAAGTCAACGAGATTATTCCCTGGTAGCAAGTCAATCCCTGAGTCGCTGAAGTGTGTTAGGGTTAAGTCCATTAGTACATCTATGATGAAGTTGAATAGGAATTGGGATAATGGGCATCCTTGACGGACACCACTAGTCGTCACCACTTCAGATGACAACTCGCCATAAGCCCTCACCTGGCTGCATGAGTACGAGTAGAATGCCTTAATCAGTGCAATGTATTTTCTCGGCATTCCCTTTACAGCCAAGCATCGCCAGAGAATCTCTCGGTCGACAGAATCGAATGCCGCCTTTAGGTCAAGAAATATAATGAGTGTTGGACGCCGGTAGGAATGCCTATTTTCTAGAATCTGTCGGAGGGTGAAGATATGATCAATACACCCTCTTCCTGGCCTAAAACCTGCCTGGTTTTCTCGTGTTTGTGCCTCCCGAGCACCACTTAGTCTACGCATGATTATTGAGCCTAGGATTTTAGATACTATATTAGTCAAGCTAATCCCTCTGTGATTATCACAAGATGACTTGTCTCCCTTCTTGTATATCGGGATGATCAGTGACTTACACCAACCCAATGGGACTTTCTCTGATTCCCAGACGCTGCCTAGAAACTCAGTTAATGCAGACAGTAAACTGTCTCCACCGTACTTAAATATCTCTGGAGTCATTCCATCAGGTCCCGCTGCTTTGCCTTGCTTCAGATTAGTGACCTCAGTTAAGGACGGAGGACCTGTGTCTATATCCCATTCAGGGAGGTGTTGAATGTTCGGCAGGTTAAGTGTGGCTCTAGGCCAATTAAACTGCTCCTCATAGTGTTCTTTCCAGCGCTCCAGTCATCTATCCTGGGAGCTAATTATGGTACCATTTTTCTCCGAGATTGTTTCGCTTATCATTTGCCTTTCGCCACCTGTTTCCCTGATAAGCCTGAATAGTTGTCTGGTGTTGCCAATCATCGATGCCTTTTCCATCTCTTTCGCTTTTGTCACCCACCACTGTTCAAGGTCCTTGCGAAGACTTTTTTTAGTCTTCGTTTGAGTACCTTTCGCTCCTCATCATAATCGGAGCTCGCTGGAATCAGTCTTCTTGCGTCAATCAGTTCGGATGAGGCGGTAGAGATCCAGTGGCTTTTATTAACTTTAGGTTTTGGCTTATTGACAGTTTTCACGGCTGTGTCTACAGCTAACTGTATGTTGTGCCAGGCTATCTCAGGAGAAGTCCTGCCGTCGACCTCAGAAACTAGTTTCGCTATTTCTTCCTTAAATAAGGACTCAGTGTCACGATCTAGTTGGGGACGTAACTGTTTCGCTGCCGTCAATTTCTTATGTCCATTTAGTCGTAAGCATAAACGTGCGCGAACCAGAGCGTGATCAGAGTCTACGCACGTGTTCCAGAAGTAGTGACAGTCTTCTACTGACCCTCGCCAACGATACCCTATGGCTATGTGGTCTATCTGAGTCCAGCGTTGATTTGGTGATGGAGGTCTCCAGGTTACACAATGTCTTTCTTTGTGCCTAAAGTTAGTGCTGACTAGGAACAGATGATTATCTGAGCAAAACTGGAGAAGACGATCCCCGTTGTCGGTTCGTCGGCAGAGAACTCCATACGTACCACCGCCGAGTCGGTAATAAGATTGGTAAAGAGGGAAGGTTGGGCATGAGGTAGCTAGCAACCCCACCCCATAAAAATAAACACCACTGCTACCGAAACTTCAAGCCTCTAGTTTGAAGCCCTATGTTCCACTGGGAACGTAAAGGAATAAAAAAACTAACTTCACCTAAACTAAATCTTCCACTAGTGAACTCAACTACTACTCGGGATGGATGCATTCCTCATGTGCCAGGCTGTCAGCCAAACATATTGTATGAAGGTCTAATGGTACTACCCTAGTTGCTCAGGACAAAGTAGAACTCAAATCAGGGACTCACACTGGCTTAAAGCCAAATATGCTTAAGTGCTGTAATAATCCAAATCACCACTCCACTAACTATTCATCTGAAATAAATTAACAATTAACATTTTCGGCGTTGAAGTATTTATATTTTTATTTACTGCAAAATCCAACAGAATTTTGTTTTTAAGTATGCTAGAATCATTTAACAATATGTTACCGAAAACACACATACACACACACACACAAAATCTTTGATTTAAGTAGCTACAGATTGACTGACACCAATTATTCCACTTATAAATCATCTAATTGAAATGTTCAAAACAGTCTGTTTTTTTTTAATATAACAACATTCTGAGGAATATTTGATTGAATGAGTATGAATAACAAGTCTATTGTAGTACACAACACAATAATATCAAACAGTGAATACAGTGTGACAGAGGGGGAAATAACCAAAACCCAATCATCCTCATCACATTTAGGTGAGTTAGGCGATAAGGCGTACACAACATAGACACACGGAAGGAAACACGCACAAAAATGCACAAAAACACAGAATGCACCTTGAAAATATGCAGGCAAATACAAGAAGACGAAGAAGGAATAGAAGAGGTTGTTGTGCAGACAATGTGTGTCAACGACCAAGACAGAAATCCCCAATAGTCTCTTTGCCGCTACAAAATCAGGAATACACAACAAGATAGAAGACAAATTAATTAGTATTTTTTTGTCTTCTTCTAAAGAGTTAAGAGGAATACGCTCAAGCCTCATTGGAAAATCATAATATATATGTATATATTGACAAAATGTGAAGAAAGCAGATGTACAAGAAAGAAACTGATGTAGACAATGAGTGCAGTAGTGTGTAGATGAGGTTGGTTTGTGATGATATTAGTAATGGTAGATTAAACATACATATATAGATATACTAGTTAGCTCTAAATTCTTCTTCGTCTTACAATTAACAACAACACATCATATGTTCATTTGTTCCAGAAAGTATTTATTGCCTTCGTGGGAGAAAAACAAACAAACAAACAGGGGACATTATTCATACAGCTGTCTCTCGACAGAAAATCCTGTGCAGATTCATCTTTTCATCAATTCGCTGGTGATGCTGGTACATCATAAAAGAACCAAGCAAGTGGATAACGAATAGCAAAGGCTAAACAGGAACACAGAATCTATAAAACAAAAACAAACAAAAAACGAAACAATATTTAGAAAGTGCTTATATATATTTATAGAAAAGGAACATATTTGAAGGAGAGAATACAAGCACGTTTTATTTCGTGGATTCTCTTCAACTGCGTACAGTCTAAATAAAATCAACTTATAAGTTACAAAATGCTGTTTGAACATACTTTTTATAATGATTTCGAATTATAGATAGGGAAGTATAAGCAAAATAATACTATAAAGTGATGTAAATGGACACATTATTCAGTGTTAAAAGGCTATAATTGGATAAGAGGGTGCGAGGGGGAAGAGAGTTCAGATTTTTCTTGAAAAAACTCAGTACGGTTCATCCTCACATTGCATAAACAATGGATCATGAATTTCACAATCAGTTCTACTTCCTAGATCTCTATAAGAAAGAAAATTAGACTGGTCGATACCTAAATTATCGCAGTTTTTAGACAATTGGCTAAAAACGCTCTTTAGCAGAGCTAGAGTATTATGTACAGAAGGTAAGATAAGTTATCGAAAAGAGCCATAGTTACTTCGGTTCGAAGAAGCCATTGCTATCCAAAGACTTTGACCCAATCTCTGTATACAGAAAGATAGCGTGACTAATCTTTCACTACCGTAATTGGTAACCATAATTGTTTTGTTGTTGCATAACATTCCACTTAATTATAATTTTCACCTACTCACTATTGAGTTTCCAAATTTACACAACGGTTTTGTCTATGTCATTATTATTATTATTACTATTGCTTCCTTTAGTTCCTGGAGGAACATAGAACTTCAGCCAAACGTCTCCATTGCGTTCGGTTCTCTGCTTGGCTCCACGTCTACCCACATGCTTTCATCTCCTCCTCACATGACCTCCTCCATGTCACCCTCACACTGACGACCAACTCACTGCTTCCTATTCAGGTTCCACTCGAGTGATGGCCTGCATTGCGTGTGATGTCACTTGGTTTTTTCCTCAGAGTATGGCCAATTCATCTCCATTTCTTCCTACATATTTGTTGCACAATCGGTTCCTGCTGGGTTGGTTCGCTCATTACCAGAGATTCCTGTTGCTGGTCTTATCTGGCCATCTGATCTTGAGCATTGAACGAAGACAAATGTTGATGAAGGTCTGTAGTTTGTTCGAAGTGCCCTTTGTGACGCAGCCCAAAGTCTCTGATCCGTATTGTAGCACTGACTGAACTCACATCGGAATTGAAAATCCGGATCTTATTTTTCATGCTGAGTGTGCTGTTGACCTACCATTGTGTCATAATTTCACTTTATTGTTTCACTATCACTCTCTTGAATTCTACATCGTAATATGTACAAATTCGGTCTATTTTTCTTCGATCTCGTATTTTGTCTCCAGTCCGGTAAAGTTCAACAATAGTGTCCCAAGGGATGTGAACGCACGGATGACCTTCAGCCGACCAATCATGAAAGAATGAGGAATTTCTGCACAAAAATGACGTATAATTACAACAAAATGCATGAAAACACATTACACCGGTTATCTTTCTCTGACATGACTTAAAAGTACGTCCAAGTTATATTGAAGAGTTTCAGTTGCTAAGTTAGACTAGTTTCTGCACATGTATTCACTGAGGTCACTGAAGATGAGCTGTTTTTTTGAATCCTTCATGTCTCTTATCCTGTTGTGCAGCCTTCCCCAAAAGCCCTCGGTTGAATTACTATGGTTTCCAGTAAGAGGATCAACGAATAATTACCAGGAAAAATGAGGATAAGAGAACAAACAAATGCTGACCCTAAACTTAATCCTAACCCTAACCCCAATACTTACCTTAATCCTAATCCTAACGAGCTGTTAACACATTGTCGAAACGGTACTTAAAAACATGATCTGAGTGAAATTTGCTGCTTAGTCGAGAGACACGTAAATTCCTGCACAAATTGGGCAAAGGCCGTACTGTCAGACCCTCTGCATCCTCTTTATTCACAACTATCCCCTTGTATCTCATCAGGTAGAACGAGAAGTCAATATAAGAAATTATATGCTCGTACCACTAAGTACGAAAATTCTACAATACCGTATTTAGCCCGTATTTTATGTGATGAAGACTCTGTTAGACGTGAGACATATAAGTTACTATGTAATTAGGATAGTGAATCGACCCTTTCATTGTTCATCTTTCTGTAATTCTATGGTGTCACCCTTTCTATCGTTTAATTATAACTTTTATATTTTTATTTTAGTTGTTATTACTATTATTACTATAATTTTATACTTTATGCATATTTTTCTCCTTATCGTATGCTGTAATTGCTACATAGCTCCTATAAAAACGTTTTGTTATCATTATTATGTATTAATTATTTCGTTTATCTATTTTTTGTTGTTGTCGTTTTTGAGTAAATTAGATGCAATATTGTACTGAATGCTGAAAATTCCTTGCTGTATCATTAATACTGTTTTTGGAATAAAGCGAAAATTATTATTATTATTATTATAAAGTTGATATTTCAGCTATGATAATGACAGATGCTGTCAGCCGACAACTTGCATGCGTTCAAGATCATTGGAGCTTTCGAACTCCTGGGACGCTATTGTTGAACTTCGCCTCTAGTCCATCCTTGCTTCCAAGCGAAATGTTAACTCAGACGCCCCCCCCCTCACCTAGTATAATTACACTATAAATAGTTAATCTTTTAACACTGAATAATGTGTCTACTTACATCACTTTTCAGAATTATTTTGCTTATACTTTGTATTTATAACTCAAAATCATTATAAAAAGTATGTTCAAGCAGCATTTTGTAACTAACTTATAATTTGATTTGATTTATGTTTATGCTGTACGCAGTTGAAGAGAGTCCATGAAATAAAATGCGCTTGTATTCTCTCCTTCAAATGTTTTTTTTGTTCTTTCGTTCACTCAAAATACTTATAAATTGTTTATTCCGGAAAAAACAAACATACACACACTGTAGAATCATCACATGAAATGAATGAATGACCGTCAAAGTCATTCTAGCCACCAATTTATACACACACACACACACCTATAATTGAGGTTGTTATTAACTCATTGTTGGCATATATAAGTGACTTTTAATCTAAAATACCAAATGAAACAATCGCGTGACTGTATTTATATCAGCATATTATATTGTGTATACGTACTTTTTGGCTAAGCACGTGGATAAATATTACTTAAATATAAGTTCATGCAACTAACTGCCTAAGTAGAGATTAAGATGTTTAGAGTTGCGTGTTTTTTTTCTAAAAAAATTATTTCTCAATGAATAATTTTTCCGATAACGTAAATAAATGGTAATTTGATTGAATACCTTTCAATATTGGGTCAACGATAATGAGCTGAGTGAGAAAAATCATAAGTGAATAGACATCTATGATCATCTCTATATGATTGTTTGTGCTTAATAAGTCTCCTCTTCTCTAGTCACATACAGCAGGAAGTATGGTGCTTAAATACGCTGGTCCAAATAGGTTATCCTAGTAGATTTGTTAGGAGATACATGAATACCAGGTACAGTAAAGAAAAACTGACAACAGTTAAAAAGAAAGAACTGTTCATGAAACTGCAATTTAATGGGGACGTGGCTAGTGAAGTCTTACATCTGAGATTATACTGCCGCCACCCTTTGTTTGTCATTTTCCAGCTGACCAATTTTGATTGCTCAAGTGTAAGACAAGCTACCTAGTTGTGCCACTTCGATGTGTATCTATAAATTTAGTTGCTCCTGCGGAGAAAGCTATATAGGGCGAACAACTAGACAGCTTAACAAACGCATCATTAATGAGCATCTTCCTTCATGGTTCGGAAAAGGTCAAATAAAATCCATACGAAGTTCTATTTTGGCTCATTTGATTGATAGCGGTCACCAAGTGGACAAAAATAGTGCTTTCAAAGTTATCTATCGTATTCCATCGAGTCTTTCGAATGGAATCAGAACCCGTTTTTTACACCTAGCCGAAGCTATGGGAATTCGAGAGAACAATCCTAGTCTTTGCATACAACAAAAGAAGTTTGTTCCAACTTTGTCTCTCCCTTGGCCTAGGTAAAGTTTAATTAAAACCCTCCCTACCTTTCTTATTGTCCATCGACTTCTTACTTTTATGATATTTATTTAAACTCTGATTATCGTTCCACTTCACCTTTTAAGATTTGACCTAATTTATTTATCTACTGAATTGTCTACATATACACATCTATACACATACTATCTTTGTTATTCTTATCGCCACCTGCATAAACCTTATTATCAATATTTTGCTATCATTATAATCCTCGTTATTAATTTCGTTCAAAACATTTACCACATTATTATTTGATTCCCAAAATCACCGTCATTGGTTAAAATTTTATATATATATCTATGTAAATTAGAGTAAAGCCTAAAGAAGATCTAATTGAAAAGAATATTGTTCGCTTATCTGTCTTGTTCTAAAATAGAGATCTTCAAGATTTAGTTTGTAGGGATTTGATTGGTTTCAGGTTTAACTACGGATTCATATCGGTTAGAGAATCCCGCTAGTGGCTGACTTCAGAGCAAAGTTGCCTGTAGTTCTAGTTAGAAATAGCAATCAGTGGGATCCAATGGGTTGGGAGTGAGGACAAATAGTCGTCGATGACATTACTAGCCGACGCAATTCGCGCTAAAATCACGAATTGGTAGAAGTTAGAACTCAAGGGCTGTTCACTGAGTCATCGGGTCCCAGTGGCTAAATGGTCTACGAGCTCACCTTTTAACCGGAAGGCCCAGGGTTCGAACCATGGTAGTGAGTATGTACTGCCGATACACCCCAAGCTAGGACGATACAGTTAGTTATCCAGTACTCACTGACTAGTTTTCAATGGTTCTCTAACTGATAACAGTCTATGGTCAAACTTGAAAAAAGGGGTGTGTCTCAATGTTTTAGGAAAGCGACTTTCAGTCAGTAGTCTCCAGGGTTCGAATCTCATTTCGTCTACTTTATTCCATAGAGCTGGCAGGCAACCAACACAGGACTACTCCAGCTGAACATAGAAAAGATGGAGGTGATGAAGATAACCAGCCAGCCAGCCAACAGCAGCAACAACAACAATCAGCACCAATCACCATCAACGGGAGAGATTTGACAGGGGTTACTTCCTTTAATTATCCGGCCAGGAAGAACGGTTTCAACCACTGTCAACGGGAACGGATGAAGATATCAAAGCAGGACAGAATCAGAAAGGCAAAATACCCCTTCATCAACCTGAAACCAGTTTAGAAATCTTCTGCACCCAGTCAGCAGAAAGAAAAAGACTCAGATTTTCAACACACGTTAAACCAGTCAGTTCTTCTATACGGTTCATAAACTTTGGTAGTGTGTCACGAAACTTTAATCAACAGTTGCCTTAGCCAGCTGGGTCCATATTGAACATCAGATGGCAAGGCGGACAGAAAGAATTAGCAATAAGAAACTCTGATAACAAACGAACTAAGAGACGACCGCTTAACAAATATATAAGAGAAAATGGAGATGGATCAGGCATACATCGAGAGGTGACATGGAATGACATCGCGCAAAATGCAGGCCATTGCTCGAGTGGAATCCCAATGGGGAGCGACGGGCGGGTCGTCCTAGGGTGACATGGAGGAGATCGTGTGGTGAGGAGGAGATGAGAGATTATGAGTAATCGAGGACCCAGCTGAGGAGGACAGCGCCAAATAGAACAAAGTGGAGATGTGTTGTTGAAGTCCTCTGTTCCACTTGTAACCCAAGGGGATAATAATAATAATATTCGAAGAAACAGACTTCTAAATAGTACACTGCAGGGACTTATTTTAGTGAAAGACAGCCACAACACTAAGTAACTAATTGTATTGAATGCTTAATTCATATCTAAAAATATTAGCATTTGAACGTGACAACAAATAGGAATGGATTAGAATGAGAATCAGTCACATTAACACACCCATTATCAGATTTGGAACTTTTTTTTCAAAATTTTAATATTTCTGACATGATGGTGACGATTGTATTTTGATTGACAGAAAAAATATCAGTGCAAATTACATCATTCATCAAGTGAATAAATATCATGCTAAGTGCCTTATAACAGTTCAGATATATTTTTTGAAAGTGCATAAAAGTGCATATTAAGAATACGCATTTTTTTTTTTCCTCCTAAAAAGGCAGTTAGAGAAATCCATTTATTTTATACGTCATCACAAAAGCTGGCAAGAGAGAACAATAGTTTTTTAAAATATATATTTGTAGTGAATCTGAGAGCTTCTTTTTTTTAACTTAAGCATTACTGATTAGCTAACTGAGTTTAAACATACAACCAGTTCAACTTGTCACACTTAATGTACTACACATAGGAAAATGAAAGACAGAGAGGAAAAGAGATTAGAAAGAAGGATGTGAAGGAGAAAGAATAGTAACACGGGATGTAGTAGATACAGCAGATTACAGAGTGAATGCATCAACACTACTGAGAACGATTTCAAGCCATATCACCAATTATCTCGAGCCATCGGTTCTTAGCGTCATGAGGACCCCAACCAGCCGAGCAGTCTACACCTCCCTAGGTGACTGGCTTAAACTAATTGTCAAAGATTTCATAGACTGACTCCAATTGCTAGTTTGACCACCACTAGCTCTACACCTAACTAACACTGCTTGTCGACGAAGGCGATAGCTTGTCATCTTAATCGATGTCGCTTCACAACCTCATCGATTGCCTTCCCCTCCTTACCTAACAACACTCGATGCCTAACCTCAATATTACTCAACTTATTGTACTAGGTAACCTAGGAGATAGAACGCAGACACCTTTAATCACACTTAAGCATTACACTATCAATCAGGAAGTCATAGATTCAAACTTCACTCAGCCTAAGACTTAGGCAGACGATAACTGTCAGTCCCTTATACTCTACAAACATGGCTAATTGTTGTTTTAGTGACTGAAACTTCACATGGTTGCTGAGTTAAGTCATCAGAGACGATTTTGAGAGGACAAAAGATAAATCCAAGGTGCACAATGGTTCTTGATAATTGTCCTTTATCTGAATAAAATAAATTATCCTGATTTATTTGTGATTGGTGCATCATAAACTGTTACATATATATACGAAAGATATTCAATTCTAAAATAAGAGTCATTTGAAAAGAACTTATTAGGGATCTTGATATTCTCTTTAGCCCTACGCATACTTTACACTTTTCGATACATGTTAAGTAAAAGACTTACGTAGAAAAAAAGGAGGGATGTGGTAAGAATGGTTAAAACAACCTGACAGAAAAGTCCTATTCACTGCCTCTACGCAGCAAGAGTGTTCTTCACAAAAAGTGAAAGGACGATTGAGAGAGTCTAGAGCTGACAACTAAACTGGTGGACATGTTAGTCTACTACATAGGGGAAAGCTGGAAAACCTTGATTCCCCCATATCAATTGTCTACATGGGCTCCAGAATTCTAACGGATCGAATGGTGGCGTATGAACCCGTTTCGGTCAACGAAAACCATGGGAACGTAACTCCTGAGTTCGCCCCACTACCCTGTGGATCACATTTCATCAAGTTAAAGGTCCGGGAGGGGGTGTGACCCCTTAGAACAACAACCACCTACATTGGGCTGGGAGTCTTAACCCTCGCGTAAACTATAAGATTTTGCGTGGCACATCTCTTGGTGCTCATTAAATATTAAGTTTATGTTTTAATAATAATAATAATAATAATAATAATAATGTGAAGAGATATCTGAAAAAATTGCTGCCTAAATGAAAACATGTTTAGTGTTTTCAATATACTGATTTATGTTCGCTGAAATGAACTCTTTTAATCGAACTTCAATTTGAGAGTGATAACAAAAATAAAGTTTTGGGTTACAAATATACATGAATCGTAGCATCTCACACTTCTGAATGAACTCACTATTTCTACTTATTATTTGTTAGGCTATAATTTGATAATATATACACTAATTATATATATATATATATGTATATATATATATATATATGAATACAGACGTATTATTTCGATTCACCCTCAGAAAGTGATTGGTGTGCAATCCTACTTACTTCATAGTGGGCACAAATTTTATTAAGTGCAGTCTGGAATCGAGTTACTGCGCGAAGCATTTATTTACAACCTATTAAATCACAAATCTGGTACACTATGGGCACCAAGAGATGCGTGCGCCACTCGAGACCTCACAGTTTATGCGACGGCTGGGATACTGTCCAGACCATCAGGACCGGGGTAGGTGGTGGTTGTCTAAAGGGACCACACCCTGAGTCTTTGACTAGAAGTCTGATCAAGGAGATAGCAGAATAGCACCGGGAGCTGTTTCAGTGACCAAAACAGGTCCATACGAAATTCAATCCGTTCGGATTCCGGCACCCATGTAAGCCATTGGTTTGCAGTCAGAGTTTTCTAGTTCCCCTAGGGTAGACCAGCATGTCGACCAGTCCGGTTATAAGCGCCAGACATTTGCAATCGCACTTTCGCTTTTGTGGGGTAGATTGAATGGGTGGGTGGTGAAGCGTTTAATATCCTTAGTTATGAGGTGATTTAATGATTTCAACGAATAAAGGGGGGTAAAGTAGCTGGCTGTTCAGTATTGCCTTGTTTTTAATGGCTCTTCAGTCGCAATTAATTACATCTTGAAGTAAGTTAAATCCCTACCAACTTGATATGTAGACAGAAAAACAATGGTTATCTTCCTTCACACCTGAGTCATTGGCCATATATATATATGTATATATATATATATACGTGCGTCGGTGGCATAGCGGTTAGCACGCTTGCCAACCATGCACATGGTCCGGGGTTTGATCCCCGGCCGGCGCACTCCTTTACCTAGCTAAGCCAGAACTGAAGCTGGTGGAGAGAAAAGGTTGAGCATGAGGCTAGCAACCCCATCCCATAAAAGTAAACACCACTTCTACCGGAACTTCAAACCTCCAGCTTGAAGCCATATACTCCATTAGGAATGAGAAAAAAGAGATCTTACCTGTAAAATCAGAAGGTTGTTTGTAGCCTGTTGTTCATTTTTAGGTCCCAAAACACGTAGCATCATGTTTATGACAGTAAGATTATCTACTTCAACAATTTCTTCAGTTGGTGACTTCATATGCACTGGACTGCTACTTCTTGGTGATCGATTTCCCATTTTTCGATCTCCTTCTGCAGACTGATGTTCAGGAGTCTGTGGAGCAGTATTACTGCTATTCTCTGCCCTGTTTGATTCTTGTGTATTTGGTACACAGTCTGAACAAAGTTTACACTCAATAATACCAACACGAGATAACCCTGTTAAAACGAACTCTCCAACACGTGACAGAGATTTTGGATGGAAACGAACACGACTAGGATGCAGTAGACCATCTGTAGGATTATAACTATAAAAAGATTAGAAGTACAATGGGAAAAAGGAGAGTGATAAAGGGAATACATAAAGTGAGAATTACTCAAATAAGCACCTACATTATGAATGAATCGATGAATAGATTTTGAGCAGACAATACACAAATGAATCAAATATTAAGGCTGTCAACACATACACACACATTACCATAAATAGTATTTCAATGAAACAAGTCTGAAGCGCTGAGAACCTTTATTTTCTCTGAAGTTAACAGCACATAAAAATCAGTGTCAATTAATATGAGCCGAAGTGTTTCTTTTCAATTTAGTTATCTCCAAGAATGTATTTTGCAATATACGCGTTTTTTCTAACCCAAGGGGTACATCAAACACTTAAGATTAAGATTGTTATCTACAGAACCTCTACATGGCTCCTATCTTGTGATATGTATACATATGCTATTGTAGACCATTTAAACTGTTTCTCAAAATGACCTATTCACTGTTCCAGGCGTCATTGTAGGTTGTTGATCGGCGTCTCATCTGCCTCATAGACTGTCTCGAAGGAGAAACTGTCGCTTCTGCCTATGGCTAGGATGAAATGAAATGGCTTCCAGCTACAGGGAGGTGCTGCAGCTGTTCTTATGTAACATTATACATTCTGAACACCAGAGTTCGCGATCCTTAAATAATCAGTACTGTTTGATTTTATATATAAGAGTTCTAAGCAGACCAATGTACTCATCTTCTGTTAGAATAAACCGATGGGCATCAAGAGGTTGAGGGGAATTAGTAAAGAGTTCCTTTCAGCTGTAAGCAGTTTTATTTAATGCTTTTTACACTCTCTGGAGAGTCAACAGCTACCCTGAGTCTAGCCTGGTTTGATTTTTGATCACAATCGATTCTCTGACGTCAAGTTGTCTAGGATGACGTTTATGATCACTACAAAACAGCAATTGAAACGTAGCACACACTAGAGCGAAATGGGAATCCATACAAGTGTCTAAAAAGAAATTGTAGTCATGTATGCACTCGTGTTGATGGCGACGTGATCTACGCGAGTCCAGACCTAAGCGGTAGGAGGAAGACGTCAGGTAGCACAACTAGAACTGCTGTGCTGGAAATGGGCGAGCGTTAGGAAAAGGTTGTGATTTGAGGATAATTGAAGAATAAAGTTCCCAATATCTGACTTGTTACTTTGTACTACTCATTGACTACTTAGAAGACACTTCTCTCAGGCTAGACGCCCAACCTGTGTACCTAAGCCCTTGGCAAATATCGAGCGTGCTCAGTTGTGGTTAGTGATAGAACTTACTCTGAACTACAATCGGGTCTGAATCCGTCAATGGCTAGGCAGATACAACGAAAAGACGACGCTTCTCTGGATATATTGGGATAAATATATGCAAGCGACATAAAACATTGATTGAAAACAGAGACTATATATTAAGAGATATAATTCACCTATCACTTAGGTAAAATCATGACTGAGGTAGTGCTAAATACGGATTTTAGGATATGCTCACCAGTTTACTTCAGTTATTCAGCGTAATTTACTTACCGAGGTAATCGATGTCGTGGGCAAGGGATCAATCCAAACAACTGAGGAGTGCTGTACAGAAAGTTGATTATTTGCGGTAAAAAGAATAGTAACAATGTTTTGCTGAAATGTCCCAAAATACCCACAACAGCAAACGTCATTCCAGCAAAGTAACAGAATGTATCACCAACAAAAGCTTTTGCTGGATATCTATTAGGAAAAGAGTGAAAGCAATATCAAAATATGGCTAAAAATAGGGTTATCACATTCGGTATTCATCGAAGAAAAAAATATTAGCAGCTACAACAACAATTTCAGTTTTCGAACTGAATGAACTTTCCCCTAAAACCTAATCAACCTTACAAACTTTGATTGTGAGATATATTGATCGTGATAATTTAATGAGTTCAGTTGAAACACTAGTTGTTGGGAAGCAAGTTAGAAAGCTTAAGCGAGGTGGCTGCGCGTAGGTGGGTGGTGCAGCAGCAGAATGCTCACCAACCACGCCTGACGTGGTCTGGAGCTCAACCCCCGGCCGACGCACTCCTTTACGTCGCGTAGCCTGTAGTGAACCCGGTTAAGAGGGAAGGTCAGGCGTGAGACTAGTAATCCCATTCATTAAAAATAAAACCACTGCCACCGAAACTTCATAGCTCAAGCTTGAAGCCGTATGTTCCACTCGGAACGCAAAGGAACATGATATGACGGTAGCCTATATGCATTTATCTTTTATTTTCCTTTGATTCAGATAAGCGTATATATTTCTTTTGTTAGTTGTTCACACTCCTTTAGTTAGATGGTATATTCCTCCTCTTATTGTTTTGTTTCTCACTATCTTGTTGAGATATAACAACATGAGTTGATGGATCACAATGTAAAGGGCCAATTGAAAAAAAGGTGTTACTAAAATGTCAGAGGCGTCTCTAACACAGCGGTAGAATGCTAGCCAACCAAGCAGGCCGTTCAGGCTTCAATCTCCGGCCCAGGTACTCCTTTACCTCATTAAGCTAGTAATAAAACTGGTAAGGAGGGAAGGTTGTGCATGAAGTTAACAACCTTATCCCGTAAAAATAAGCACCATTGTTACTGAAACTTCAAGCCACTCTATCTTCCTTTACGGCTGTGAGACCTGGCCATTGAGAGCGGAAGACACGAAAAGGATAGCTATCTTTGATCATAGGTGTCTGCGTTCTATCTCCCGTGTGAAATGGTATAATAGAGTGAGCAATATTGAGGTTAGGCGTCGAGTGCTAGGTAAAGAGGGGAAATCAATAGACGAGACTGTGAATTTACATCGATTGAGGTGGTTAGGATATATGTTGCGCATGCTTAGCTATCACCTTCCTCGACAATGGGCAATGTTAGCTAGCTGACATAGGATCAGGTTGGAAAAGAGCCAGTGGTAGTCATACCAAAACATGGCATCAGTCAATGAAATTCACAACAGTTAGTTTAAGCCAGTCACGTAGGGAGGTGTAGACTTCCTGGTTGGGGTCCTCGGGACGGTAAACACCAATGACGGCTGGAGACAATCGGTGATATGGCTCAAAATCGTTCTCAACGGGGCAGATGCATCCACTCCTTGTGACTTATAATTTCCAATAAAACTATATTGTTCTTCGATATTACTATTCTTTTTGCCTCATATCTTTGTTTACTGTCTCTATTTTGCGTTTCTTCTTACTTTCTTCTCTGGCTTTGTGTGCTGAGTGAAGTGTGGCGACTCGAACTGTTGCACATCGGTGCAAAGTTATGTGTTGAAACCAGACATATACATATATATGCCTACCTAGTGTAAAATACAACAATCTCTTTAATTGAAGTGCATAGAGTGAATTCCGTACTTATGGTTTGTAATAATTTGAAGTTGACGATTTACATCTCTGAAACTTTTGAAGTAATAGTGTCTAAATGGACAATGAAACTCCTTATAAAACCCATACAAGTAGCATTAGAGGAACAAATGGATGGTTTCAGGCATCAATGAAGTACCAAGGAGACCTTTTTCTTGCTGATCAATTTGACTGACTGATTGATTTCAATATAGGACTTTGCACAGATGTGCAGCAGTCCGAGTTACTGATCAGTCAGGTCTCGTAACATCTGTTTAATATGTCTTATTTCGATAAGATGTAAAAATGTAACTTATCAGGAGCTGTGGACCCTCTTCAACAACACAAGCAAGTGCCTATACGACAGATCAGCTACTTGGGTAATTGATTCAGTAAAAGTTACGTTCATATTCACTCTATTTGCCTTTGTAAACATGTACTGTTACTGTTGGTTATTAAAAATAAGACGACATACCCACTGAAACTACTAGATTACTATTTACTCTACTAAACAACTTTACAGATTACAACCTATATGTCAATCCAGCAGAAGGTTATTCACGCAATTAAAATGCTCTTACCCTGGAAATTACCTAATATTGTGCAAGCTAGGAAGTTATCAAATAACTCCAATGCTTTCTATGATTATATTTCTAGAACTAACGTAAAAATTAAACCAGAAAAGAAAATGCATACAGACACCTGAAATATATACCCCATAAAGTCTTTACAAAACTCACCGGTTAATACAATACAAGGCATAGCATACAGCCCAAAACGGGATCAGGAAATACAAGGAAAACAGATGAACACGCCAATGTTGACCTAAAATATATGAATTTGATATACCAACAGCATTACTAATTACAGTTAAAGCAATAAACTGATGCAGGTTTACATAAATATTTATTTCCAAAGGCTTTCCTTATTCTGCTTGCCTATTCGAAACCAAATCTCCTGTTACTAATACAACAGTAGGAACGTAGAGAAATTGTAGTCATTATAACAATGTCTAGAATAATTCATTCAGTTGAGATAGTGATCATGTAAAATAGTCTGCTAGCACTTAAAGATGGAATTCAATAGAAGGGATATCAACTAGAAATGTAACACTAATGTACGCTTCATAATTATTCACACATATGTACTAAAATTTACATTCATTACACATTGGTGACTTTTAATTTTGACAAACAAATCAGTATCTGCATTTCTGCATAAAGAAAGTTCACATGCGTTGTCCCATTATCATTCGAAATCGTGTGGACTACCACATGTAAACATTAGTTGCCTTATGAAATCATACAAAATCAAACCACTGGCTTCTTCAGAAGCGAGGATGTACTGGGTATTATTTAATTATTATTATTCCCTTGCGTTCCGAGTGAAACATAGGGCTTCAATAACACATCTCCACTTTCTTCAATTTTTTGTCGTCCTCTCCAGCTTGGTCCACGATTGACCAAACTCTCTCGTCTCTTTCTCACACGATCTCTTCCATGTCACCCTCGCACTGACGACCCACTCGTCGCTTCGCATTTGGATTCCACTCGAGGACCTGGTGTGCGATGTCATTCGGCGGCCTCCTCAATAAATGCCCGATCCATCTTCACACCACTAGATCTTTCAAACAGCTAGAGAAACTTTAACACACAGAAAATATAGTAAAAATACAAAAACTTCAAGTAAAAATCTTATTCTTCGCTCGAATCGGAGAGGTGAAATGACACGGGCTGGTGAAAGCCTTCGGGAAGCCAGTCAGCCAATGTGTTTTCTCTCGATAAAAGTAACAGTAAGAATGGGTACGTGGAATGTCCATACAATATACGAGACTGGGAAGGCTGCCCAGATAGCCAAAGAGATGCGAAGATATGTACTGGGTGAGTACACATAAAATGTCCGAATTTTACACACGTTTGACGACATGCATACTTTTCTTAATATCCTCAGTGTACTTTGTTCTAAAATGTTAAAGCTTAGATTGATGTGTAAACTTGATAGCCATTAGGACTTCATAACTATTCTCAACATAGACTAGAGTGAACCATCACAAAAACACTCATCAAACATGAATGTTGCAAACCAAAGGCTAAAAATAAAACTATAAAAAAGCATATTTAATGACTTACTTGAAATCTCAATTAAGTTGAACAAAATCAAAGAAGAGGCAATCACTATTGCTTGACCAACTTCAAGACCATTAATTCCAGCGTAGATATTGATGGAATTGGTACAAAACACGGCCAATAAACCCATATACACATAGTACAGAATACCTGAAATAACCATATAAAAATGAAGAACATAATGCAGTAAGTTAGATTTCGAAAACCAATTCGAATGAATAGACCTAATGTCTAGTCAATAAGTTGCTTTCATATTCTTAAAACAAGCACTTCTCTTAACGAGGAAACCAACTGAGTATTCTTGGGAAGTAGAAATCTACATTCCAGTGTTACGTAGATTAATAACAAAGTAGTGATATTACAACTCGAAACAACTTGTTTTTTTTAGTGCGTAACTTGATATGAATGAGCACTTAGTTCAATTAAAAACGGCAATTCATCAACCAAATGACAGAACAAGTATGTCTCAGGTTCCTTACAAATAAAAAATAACAATAACAAAACAATGTAGGTAGATTAACCATACTCTGAGAAACCATAAAGTGATATCACACGCCAGGCTCTCGAGAGGAACTCGAATGGGAAGAGGCGAGTTGGTCATCACAGTTATATGGAGGAGGTTATGAAAAAATGTGGGCAGACGTGAAGCCAGGTGAAAATGCTAGCATAGAACCGAACGCAATGGAGAAGTGCGGTTGAAGCCCTATGCTCTTCTAGGAACTAAAGGAGATATATAAATAATAATAAACAAAGAGAAAGGTGAGGTTCAAAATCAAAACGATTGTAAATTCTTAGTGATGAAATATTAAATACAGGAGAACTGAGCTGTTTGACTTGGTTATCAGATGAATTTTAAGGGAACTTTCTCCCACCAGTTAATCACTTTCCCCCATACAAATCTTTTTATACTAAAATATATAAAGCAAGACAAACGAAATTTAAAGCTTTATCAACTAAAGGTGCAGTAAATATGTTAGTATTTACAATACAAAACACCGCAATGCTTAGGAATTGCACTGAAGTTTAGACTGTGTAAAGCTATGGAGTACAACTTCGTAAACATATTTTGTCAAGAAATATTATCTACCAGCTAAGAAGGAAGGTTCATTTTGAATGATTCAACAACTGTAATAAATAAACCAACAAGCATCAACATCCGAGAACGAATTGAATAATGAAATCATTACGGAAACAGTGACAACTGTATAAGCAACAGGATTCTAATAAGACTACGGAACAGGGCTAAATCCACTAACATTTGCAGATTAAGCCATATTCTGCTACCTAGGCTACAGATAGGCTGTAACAGATTCGTAGAACTACATTTTCTTAACATAACTTTGACTACTACAGATGGATAAGAAACAATTATCAGGTCGATAAACTTAGTTAGTCATCAAGAGACATATAAGTGGCAGTTTCAAGCAGTTACTGGATAAAATATTTGTGTTGGTTCCGTAGTCTTGCACTGGTCATCTAAAGGTAGATTCAAAGGTAACAGTGAAAGATGAATGACAGTGATTGTTAAGTCACTAGTAATCTCAAGTAATTCGAATGATCCAGTGATTTACGACAGTAACCATTGCTAAGCTAAGTCATATCTGTTGTCAAAGCTACTGAAACTGCTCTGTTGTTCGGATGAAAACCATCAAATCGGGGCTACAAACTATCATAGTTATTGTAAGTGCGGTTAACACGTATAAAGTAAGTATGAGAAACACGAGGGCAACACAAAATTACACATAAATATTTGTTAGTGGTGATGCATTGATATTAACTCACCGATGTCGATGGTATTGCCAAAGACACTTCTAAACATAACTGGTACGACAATCCGAGTTGTTCCCTCATTCGCCAAATATACCATTAACAACGGTAAACTTGCAACAGACGGAAAAACAATTTTGTGTCTCCATGGAAGATTGAGAGCATCATCGGCGAAGCCCAAGAATATCATACAGCATATTGACAGCAGACCAGCAAGAAACTGAATGAACTGCAGATATGAGACAACGATTAAAATAATTACTTACCTGACTTTTGAACATAATCTCCTGCTGCTCTCCGGTTCTATTAAAAGGGCATGACTAAAGAGTATATGATAGATAAGAAGGCTTTACTTCAATTATCTGACTATCCCCTTTGCCGAAAAGGTATTTCCAAAACGGAACAGGTATAAAGATGAACATAATGGAGAGGAAAACGACGCCACATATTACCCCCTGTGCCTCGGGACTTAGAAAATAAGGAATTTTAAAGAAACAAAAAATTACAGTGTTGGTTTAGTGGGCTTATTCATATCAATACCAGAGAATCCAGCTCGAAGAAACTCTCCTTTATATCTTCTGAACAGTCTTATCACACATTTTAAGCCAAATATGGACATCAATACAAGCACAGAAAGTTCGAACACATGCCGATAGGTACTAAAAAAGTACACTTCGGGTGCTGGTCCACATGTACCGTCCACAGACATTATACCCACGTTAACTCTGAAGAGTAGATGTACCGTTTGATTTCACAATTGGCGGGGCAGAGTGTGCACCCAATTACCTGCCATTGGAAGTAACAAATGAAAACGTCACTTTAGTATTTAATGAGTAATTTTAAGCTTTTTTGAAAGAAAGACTTGCAAATGCTAGGGCAAGACACTGAAGCTAGATAATTTAAGCCCAGACGACCAGATTGTCAACCTTACACCATGAAATAGACTTTGGAGACTGGTTTGGTATATCCAGTAACAGCATCTATAAGAAATCTGGACACATTTTAGCCAGACAGATGTCCCACTTTATAACAGAAGTTGATATCTGGCACATAAGACCAGTTCTCCAACACAAATTCATAGTGAAAGTTTAACGAATTGACGGCTGACACAAAGCCATTTGGCTGAATGATCAGTCCTTTATGGTTGTAGATAGACTGCTTAGAGCACAAAATCCCATTCACTATAAGTTTCTGTCTAATGTTTATATTAACACGGAACTTGGATATACTCATTATTCCAGACTATACAGTCGGTGGGGTGATAAGTAACACCTGAGGAAAGGAATGTAAGTGTTAAACTTGGACACAGTGGTCTATTTAGAAGTTTGTTTGTTAGATATATCACACAGTGAGGCAGTGTTATATACTGGATGGCTTTTAAAGCACAATTTATTGCACATGATGAAGATAATTATGAGTTTAAAACTTCGAAACTTTCGTCTTGTAGTTTGCTTTATGCGCTGCTATTCGTCGTAGGCATAATAGAATTTTCCAGATATCTGAGACAGGTATTCCGAAAACGGCTATCATCACACCTTTCGGACTTTTCGAATTCCTACGTATGCCATTCGGCCTCCGGAATGCGGCCCAAACATTCCAGCGCTTCATCTATGAAGTATTTCGCGGTCTCGACTTTGTATATGCATACTTAGACGACTGCCTCATTGCCAGTCCAGATAAGGAAACTCACCTTAGACACTTGGACTTGGCATTTGAAACGTTACGTCAACATGGTGTTACCATCAATATTCAAAAGTGTCAAATAGGCGTTGACTCACTCGATTTTCTGGGTCACACTATTGACTGTCAGGGCATTCGCCCACTGGCTACTAAAGTCGAAGCGATACTGAACTTTCCGGAGCCAAAGACAGTGAATAGTCTTCGCACTTTTAACGGCTCGGTAAGTTATTACCGACGATTTATTCCTAACTGTGCTTCTCTGATTCAGCCATTACCAGACCTCCTTCGAGTGAATAACAAGTCTACCGAACTCGACGCGTCTTCTCGACATGCTTTTACTCAGGTAAAGAAAGCTATTGCGGATGCCACCCTTCTTATGTATCAGGATCCAACGGCACCGTTAAGTATCTCGGTTGATGCATCAGACACTGCAATCGGCGCAGTCCTGTAACAGCTAGTTAACAAAGAGTGGCAACCACTCGCCTTTTTCTCGAGGCGCCTTCAATTAGCTGAAACGAAGTACAGCACATTCGGAAGAGAACTTCTAGCTATGTACTGTGCTATACGCCAGTTTCGACATTCAGTTGAGGGTCGTGAATTCATCATTTTCACTGACCACAAACCTCTGACGCACTCTCTGAACTCAACTTCAGATAAGTACTCACCCAGGGAATCACGACAACTAGATTACGTTTCACAGTTTACATCGGATATTCGCCCTGTATCCGGAGTGAACAACACTGTGGCAGATGCCTTGTCGCGTATTTGTTCCTTCACGCAAATCAACGGCATAGACCTTGTAAAACTGGCTCGTCTTTAAAAAGAAGATACCGAGCTTCAGCATGAGTTGTCGAAAACAACTCTACAATTAGCCGAGAAACCCTTAGGTATAGGAAAAGATACTATTGTCTGCGACATTTCCACTAGTACTCCTCGCCCCATCGTGCCTAAAAGTTATCGCCGTAACGTCTTCAATACGTTGCATGGCTTATCACACCCAGGTATTTGAATTACCGTCAAGCTCACAACTAGTCGGTTTTGTTGGCCTGGTATTAACAAGGAAGTAAGGGAATGGGCACAGGCGTGCTTAGCTTGCCAAAAGTGCAAAGTAATAAGACACACCAAAAGCCCCCTAGGCACCTTTCTTATCCCCGATGCCCGTTTCGAACACGTCCATATAGATTTAGTTGGCCCCCTTCCAGAATCTCATGGATATACCCATTTGTTAACCTGCATCGATCGCTTCACACGATGGCCTGAAGCAGTACTCATCAAAGATATATCTGCTGAAACCGTCGCACGCGTCTTTGTAGACAGATGGATCGCAAACTTTGGATGCCCATCTTCCATAACAACTGATCGCGGGCGGCAATTCGAAGGCGGTTTATTCTTCGCTTTGAATAAAATCCTTGGTTGCATGCGTTTTCGAAGAACAGCCTACCACCCACAAGCTAATGGTATGGTAGAACGTCTACAAAGACAGTTGAAAGCTGGTTTATCAGCTGCAAATAACACCCATTGGACTGAATCCCTTCCGTTAGTTCTAGGGATACGAAACGCCTTAAAAACCGATGCTGGTTGTACCACCGTTGAGCTAGTATATGGCACGACACTACGACTGCCAGGTGAGTTTGTTTCTCCCTCGAGCTTCCCACCAGCGGTAGATCACATCTCATACATCAGCAGGCTTACCAACGCAATGCGTTCAGTTAAAGCTGCTCCCCTCCGACCACAGTTCATTGATGTCTTCGTTCACCCCTGTTTAAAAACTTCTTCACCCGTACTTGTTCGTCGTGACTCTGTGCGTCGCCCTCTATAACCCCCGTATGACGGACCATTTAAATTAATTACACGTACGGATAAATTCTTTGTTTTAGACGAAAAAGGCCGCGAAGACACCATCAGCATTGACCGTCTGAAACCGGCGTACTTGTAAGGTAATCCTACTAGCCCAGAGCTAAACGTACCCCATAATCCACAAGTAATTGAATCTCCTTTGGTCTTCGAAGAACTCCCTAGCACGGCGAAAGCCTCCGAAACTTTGGTCGAACACTCTAAGAAAACCCGTTCTGGACGTCACGTTAGATTCCCAGAATACCTTCACACCTATTTCACATAACTGAGTGGTGCGTTCCACCCAACTCATTATTTCTCTTCAGACACATCAATTTTTTTATGTAGCATCACTTAACACAAGTAAACGCTTTTTTTTCCTATAATCGTACGTTAAAAATGCACTTAGAAAAAAATTAAATTAGATGTATATTTTTTCCCGATATTTTGAACTTAACATTATTTTACTGTATAGTAGATGCACGTCATAGTTTTTTGGTAAAAAAACGCTTATTTGGTACGTTTTTCTTGACAAGGTTCTTAGCATTCTTGTTTTCTTTTCCATGTGCAACGGAAACTGGATAAGAAACAAACGAAGCACGGGATCCAACGAACAACATCGAGGAAGCTATGTACAGACAACATATTAGCATAGGCAGACAGACCAGTAGGCCCTCCATCAAGCCGCTTGGAAGATTTTTTTCACCCATAAGGGAACCATCGAGATTTTTTTACTTCCGGCTGGTCATGTCTTAGGGTCCTCACGAACCCACTAGGGGGGAGTGAGCTGTAGCGGTAAATAATTCCCCTAAATTATTGACCACAGCAATCATCACTCAACATTGGATGCTGACCCTCACTGTTTAAGTCGACTTGTTTAGCTGTAGGTTTCCGGTCAAGCATCCCCGCCATTTGGTACTCCGTCGTGTCACGTGCGTGCACGATTACTAGCTAGCAAAGCATTCACTCGATACGGTTTACTATTTGGTCCCAAAATATACTACGTACTTTGGACGACAAAATCTGGTCTTTTGTTTTATCTTTGGTACTCGAAGTGCGAACACTATAGAAGTTGTTGGTATAAGATCTTGCGTTAGTATAATCCGTACAATTCGCGAACGTCGATACCTGCAACCCCTAATCTTGGTTACTCATCTCAGCCTTCCAAATCCCCTAAACTTGAAAAGATACTTTAATGTAAGTCTTGCAACAGTGCCCAAGAGTTGCCAATGACATGCCTTCGACAACAGAGCAGATAAGTTGCTTTCAATTTCCATCACATCAATACCTAAGACCTAGAGGATGAAAACAACCACAAAACAGTCATTCAAGAGCCAGACTTTCAACTTTGCAGGGCTGCCACCTCCTAGATCTTTTCTGATGAAGCAAATGAACCGTCTCAGTGACGACTTTCAAACTTCTGGAATCCACAAGGATATACAAAAAGAGAAATATGTTTCACCTGAGGGACACCTCGAAAACCAGGTAGACTTCATCTCAATCTCAAAAAGGTGGATACTCACTCTGCTAAACATAAGTTTGAGAAGGGGTCAGGTGAGGACACACACAATTATCTGGTGGGAGCAAACTTCAAAGTCAAGCTGAAAGCCTCCCAAAACAACTGGAGACAGATCATGATTCAATTCCAGCACTCAGAAACTGAAGGAAGAAACTATAGAGGATACCTTCACTTCAGATATCAGAGCAAAGTCGGAGACATTACGTGGTATCACTGAGGAAGTTTGCGTGGAAGACCACTGGAACTCTGAAAGTGATGTTCAGAGAAACGTGTACAACTGTTCTAGGAAGGACAAGGCTGTCGACGGTCACCTGGAAGTTAACAAAGGGGAGTAGAGCAGTGAAGCAGAAGATGACCCAACACATAGATGGACAACAGAAGCAGAAGCTCAATACGACGTACATCGCACTGAATAAAGAATTGGAGAAGAGTTCCGGGAAAGACAAAAGATAATTCTGCGACAAAGAAGAAACGGAAACAAGACAGCCCTCGGGTAAAATAGACCTCAGAACATTATATCAGGCGAACAACAGGTCTCTGTCCGGGTAAGGGCCTACGCGGATGAAACCTATAAAAGATAATCAAAGGAGCCTGATTACCAAGAGTAGAGAAAATAAGGCAGTGAACTGATCACATTCAAAAGACTCTGGGATAGAACTTCACCTTTGACACATCCGGAAATACCACCAACAGCACACAGAACTGCCAGTGGACACCAGTCATTTAACAAAGGCAGAAGTCTTGACTTCAGTCAACCTACTACACTACAACCTGGAAAGCAGCAGGAACAGACGGAATTCCACCTGCAGTACTGAAAATGGACAAACAGTATGCGACAGTTATGCTCACGTCATCATTCCCAAAGGGTTGGAAGGAAAGGTATCTACAGAATGGAAGGTCGCCTTGTCAAACTACTAAGGGAGGGAAGTCAGGACTCTGCAAAGACTGGCGCGGGATTATGCCTCAGTCAATGCTAAGTA